TAATAATTTATTTTATAAATTGTCGCCGACTTCGCTATCGCTATCGCTGTCATTTTCTGTAACATTTATTATAAATGTGTCTGGGATATTGTCAATTAACATATCTAGCCCATCTGATTGTTTATCGATTTTTGTGTTCATCACTAGACTATTATATGTGGTATCATTATTTCACAAAATTACAGTAGCTATTGTCAAATCTGGAATCGAATTAAAATTCTGACTATAGACAATATAATACACGGTTATGTTATGGAAGCTTAAGAGTAGCGCTCTCTAGTGGAGCCTAACTATGGGAATCTGTACATCTAAACTCCGCATACTTAAATATTAGCATATATTCTGTCTGGATGTAGAACTGAATGGTTCAATATCTTGATTTTTATTGCATTGATGAGTGAAAAACAATCTAATCTTGTTCATAATTATGGTCAACTTATCTGTATGCACCTTTTTAACAAATCGTTCTATTTTCAAACAATGTAGGACAAAAAGCGATAGCAACGTTAGATACACAACCACTTTTACGTTAGATAAGGACAAAATATACACTAGAGAAACGTGAGAAAGCAATACCTGCACAAAATGTATGCGTTAGAAAGAGACAGCGCGCGCATTATGTCGTCGATACAATATAAGTTTTAGGCTAGCAGCTAGCAGATCGTCCGTCACTTCGCCAGTTGCTCCTGTGACATCGCACTGTACAGTCGACGTGTCCCGAGTCTGCATTATTACTATTATAAATAATTTCGTTTTAATTTAAAAAACATGGTTTTGGAAAGTTTCGTTTGGAGTGAAGAAGTGGAAAAGTCGACCGAAATGGGCGAACAACCAGAGACTGGTAGAGACTCCGTAGAGCCTGAAGTAGAGACTCCAGAAATATCGGAAACTGAATCTTCAGGGGACGAAGAAGACGGAGCCTTAAAGGACTTGCTTAGAGTCGATGAACAATATGTTCCCCTGTTGACCTTGGTATGTAATATTATATTTTCTTTACTTATTTTAATACGAGAAACACAACTGAGTTCATTGTTGTTAATTAACTGACTTACCTTATCTTACAGCTGGAACAGTTTTCCCCTGGAGAAGATGGCATCCAATTCAACAGAAAGTTGAGACACTTTGAGACCACTGTCTCATCCGTGTGTCCGGACGACTCGCGCGTGCAGTAAGTACTTACCTAGGCTTATTTTTTCAAATTTTATCGGCTGCTTATAGCAATACATGAAATTAAAAGTACCTCTATAAGCATTAAAGTTTCTCAATATCTATCAAAAAACTTCACCTCTTCTGCCATTAATAAGTCTAATAATTTTATTCCTCTTTGTCCAGACAAGCATTTGCGACGTTCCGCGCGGCGGCTCTGCTGAGCCCAGAGACGGCACGTAAGCTGGTAGCAGTGGGTGTTTCGTTCACTCGCCATCAGAGACTGCCACTGCTACGTGGAGCCCTGCTTAATGTCGTCATGCAGGACACTTTCTCTAGTAAGTACCCTTTCCCAATATCTATTCACCTCTCGAATGCTGTTCACCCAGTAATATGTTAACTAATTTTCATCTCCATCAACAGAACTAGACCTGCTAGAGCGCTCAAACCCGCTGTTCCTCATCAACGCTGCGAATCTGATGGGAGATTACTTCGCAGAGGCTCGCCTCAGTAACGGCGACAAGCTTCACTTTCTGGCTGGACCACTACTGCAATACCTGCGTGCCTTACTCGCCGCCCATGATGTTCGTGCACATAGCAGTCTCGCAGCCCAAGTAAGTTTCAAACAAACATTTATTATTCTTTTCGTCCTCGAATGATAGCTTCTGATTGATTTATTTGGTTACGGAATCCATGACAATTATTTGTGTCCGTCTACAATGTTTCGGTGCACAGGGATTGCAGTGATTTCGGGTGGTTGAGACGGGCTTATCCTTACTAACATACTAGCTATCGTCCATCCGCCGAGGGAGCTTTATTGCCATATAGATAGAATATTTGCTAATAACATTCATTGTTTAGTAGAATCGTGACAGCTAAGCAGGTTCAAATGCTAATATATAACTTACTTTTCTTCACAGTTGATGCAGAACGGTCGCGAGCTACTCTCCCTACTACCTCAAGAGATGGACGAGCTCTCGATCTCAATCCGTCTCCGTCTGCTCTCGTCCCCACCGGTCAGTGCAACGGCGTGGCTACTGCTCTCCGGGGACCTTTGCCTCAACAAGTTTCTTGCCCTGCCGAATACACTGCAACAGTTCTACGCCGCACATCTCGACCTAACCACGGCAGGAAATGTCAGTGAAGTCGGCTATGGAACTTGGAAGAGAAGCCCCGAGGAGGACAAAAATAAACCAGATGCTACGGAAATCGCAGACATAGTCAGCCAAAATATATCTGAGATCAGTCTGAATGACGAAGAAGAGACGAAGCCTAATTTGACACCGATAGTAGGCGCTGGAGATGGGCTATCAGGGCAGGAAAACCCAATCTCAGTTAGTCAGGATACGTTTGAACTATGGAATGCTAACGTGAAACAACGATACGACCTTAACTCTTGGCGTCAGCCAGAGGAGAAGAAAACAGAGAGACTTGAGTTCCAACAAGGAAGGAATAGCGTCCAAAGTTACTCCGAAAGAAATGTGTCCCAGACTCCTTCGATGCCTGAATACAGACCAGACGCTTCAGCGACCGCAGCGATTAGTCTGCATGATAATGAGGATACGAAAACTAAATTGACGCCAAAATTAGGCGTTGGAGTTCGATTATTGAGACTTAAAGCCCTCTCAGCAAAACCACCACTCTCAGTTAGCCAAGATACATGGCCAGGTAAAAACAACTTAAGGAAAAGACACGACCTTAACACTTGGCGTCAGGTAGAAGCCATGAGAGGTCATGAAACTAAATACGAGCAGACTGTTCTCCCGCCAGCACAGTCTTGCCCCGTACCCGACTACCGACCGCCGAACATAAACGGAAAATCGAACAGGAGGAGGATTGGTGGAAAGGAAGACGGAACGACAGCCAAGGCGGCCCCGAGACGCAATGTCACCGAAGTACCGCGCAGAGCCAAATACTGGGACCATGACGACCGATGTGACAAACATTACAGTTAGTTTTAATTCCTATTCTAGCGTTCCTCAAAGTGCAGAACTGATTGTAAATTATTATTAATATAGCGAATGGTTTAAATAAAATGGTAACTTTAAATTATTATTTGTATTATGGTAATGTATTATATGATAAATTAATGAAATATACTAATTTTGTTAACTTAATTTTTTTGTATTTTATCTTTAAATCCCTGACGCCTGAATACAAATGCAACATTCTATAAGTTACACCTCACAATAAAATCCCTTAGTAGTAGTAAGTAGCAGGAGTTAGTCATACAAATAATTGGCCGACTTCAAAAAGGAGGTCTTGTATCGACAGGTCTAGCCACGCATAAAGCACACATTTAACATATTCTTGAAAGGAGTTCAATTGAATAAATATTAAAAAATACTCAATATGGTATTTCGATCTACAAAATCTATCCAAATGTGTTTCAAATTTCATCCCATAGCTAACAGCCATCCATATATGGGTGTAATAATAACAGTTAGTTCTTTCCATCCGTGCACCTGTGGCTGGAGATATATTAATAATAATGCAGTTAAAAAGACCACGTTTCAATATGTCCTACCTGTGATGAACTTACCACTCGTGTTATTTATTTATTACTTTTTCTATTGAATATTACGACATAGCATTGTCTCACTCATCATCCTTTGGTTATCTTTGTAAACAGCTTACTTTCGACAACCACCGATGACAATAGGTCTTCGGTAAAAGTAATTAGATACGTTCTTCGAAATGTCGCAAACGATGAGTTTCATACGAGGGCGAAATATTAGGCGATTTCAAAAAAAAGTTTTTGCCTGTTCATACATGGATATTAATTCAACATTAACAAACAGCACTTATTATTAATTTGAAATCGCCAACTAGCAATGAGCAAGCGTGGTGATTACCTCACCTCACCTAGTAATTGAGCTGACTGTAAACCGACACATGCGTACTGCCTTCAGAACGGGTCCGCTCAAACTGTTGTGGTTCTTTCCTCAAAAGGCCAATACAGAAAGAACTTACACGGTTCTCACACATAATCTATTATACATATTGTCTGGACTTTAAAAGAGACAGATCTCTGAGTTTGTTTCGGCATTTCTTCTCAGAGTAGTCAGATAGGAAATGTCGACCTCATCGTTCGCTTGATAAAATTGACATGTAAAAGTGCTGCCTTGTAGCCTATTTGCAGAAATAAATTTACTTGTTTCACTTGTTATTAATGTCTCCACGCCTCCAGGTCCCACGACAGTAATCCGGCCAGGAGGTTCGCCGCCTCCCCGGAAATCGTGCGGTATCCGCGAATCATTCGATCGCCATGACCCTCTGTGACATGAGCAGAGCCCGAGCGGGCCGCCGCATCAAGATCGACGCCCACACAGGGACGCTGTAGAGGGCCATGGACCGCACGACTCCGGCATATATAACCTCCGGTGAAACACGGACTAAGGTGTAGTGAGTACTTTATGAGACGCTACTACGCCGTAGTACCACCTGCTACGCCGTAGCATTGTGTGCTACGCCGTAGCATCGTGTGCTACGATTTTATTTTAGACTAATGCAACGGTTTGCAATAAATGAACAATTAGTTGAAGTACTAAACAAATATAATCCCGAGCGTACGGCGCGTCGCGTTTCGCGCGCGCCTCAAAGAGCCATCAGACCACCACAGATGGAGCCCAACAGGACCGATGCCGATTCGGAGTCGCGGAGAACCTAACGGATAACCGGAGCTCCGGCTCGACGTGCAAGAGAAGGAACGGGGTGGTTTTTAGTCAGTAAGAGTCTGACACTCCCTCCCGCCTCACCCAGGCGGGAGCAGCCATTCGAAGATTTTTTCCAGTTAAAAAAAAACAAATATAATAGGTAGTTCAATGAAATACAGGAAACTAGTGATTCGTTAACCCATTTCCAATTATTTAGTACTTTATTAAATTAAGTAAAAACGCGGATTACTCACGTGAATATACTGAGAAAAGCTCTACTAGTTTACAGTGAGCTGCGCGACGTCGCCGCGACCGCGCACCTTGCTCATGAGGAAGAACCCCTCTGTGGTTCGAAACAAGTAGAGCTTTTCTCAGTATATTCACGTGAGTAACCCGCGTTTTTACTTAATTTAGTTAATATGAAAAAATATTTAGTACTTTGTCACATTTTAATTAAACCTTTCCCGGAAAATTAAAATTATCTAAGTAAATAGGCCCAGTCGTTCGAGAACTTTAGTAAGACATTGCAGGTGATTTTTAACAGACTATAAAAATAGGAGGTTCTTAGGTTGACCTCTATGTATGTGTACCTATGTTTGTGCGCGATTGGCTGAACCGATTTTAATGTGGTTTGCCAGAAATGTATGTTTGTTAAACTTAAGAGGTTTTAGTATATTAATTAACGGACTTCCAAAAAAAGAGGGGTTGAAGTCAGTTTCTTTTTAAAGAATTATTTTAATTCTATTTTCAATATCTGCTGTACCTACCTAGGTACCGTAACGGAGTGATTAGTATCCGCCATCTTTGTTTTTATTTTATTTTTTTAATTCATTGCACCACACTACGATTTTCTCCTGTCGTGGGTGCATTTATAAACATACAAGTTCACATACACATGACACCCAGACCCGGAACAATTTGTGAATCACACAAAGAGTTGCTCCGTGCGGGAATCGAGCCCGCGACACGTTGCGTGGCAGCCGGTTGCCCAGCCACCGCACTAACCGTGTTGTCCTTAGTATCTTAGCTTATCGTCACAATGGCTAGCTCTATCGCTAATGCATTCTCTCCCAGGAAATATTAAATATGACTTGTAAGCGTGGGAAAGGACAAAACAATAATAATAATCATCAACAGCCTATAAGTGGCTACTGCTAACCTTTTTTTTTATTTTTTTTTAACGTGTGGAAATCCTCATGGATACCCTTTGTCCAGACAATGAGCGTCAGACAACAGGTTATGTCGGACTCATACCGACTAAAACCACATAGTAAATTCCAAAAAACAATGAGAGAGTCACTGGGTACTCGAATGGACGAACTCACCTGCGACACTCAAATTATGTTACTACCTCCTATCTTTTCGGAGTTAAATTCAACGCCGCCTTTGTGTCTGAGTTGGGTCTATCCTTTCTCGATCTCTCTCTGCAGTTTCCTTCTGAAACATAACAGTTTCACAGAAGGTGACTACGGCCTGCCAAGCTGTTGGATCTGCTAACATAGCTAAGATTACAGTCGGTAAGCAAAGGTGTGGCCGATTATTTCGACCAGAACACGTCGCTCACAGAGCCATTCAGGACAATCCTCAAGCGTGTGTTGAGCGGTGTCTCGATCAACTCCACAATGATGACATCTGGGTGTGCCTTCACGACCTATTCTATTCAGGCTACTGCTAACCTAAGGACTCTTTTCACACGGAGAAGGTTAGAGCACTAATCACCACGCTTGCTCAATGCGGGTTCGCGATTTCAAACTTATATTTAGAAATTATAAGTCTTTTTTTTTGAGGGGGGAAAATCATCGAATGACTGCTCCCGCCTGGGTGAGGCGGGAGGAGTGTCAGACTCTTACTGACTAAAACCCACCCCGTTCCTTCTCCTGCACGTCGAGCCGGAGCCCCGGTAACCCGTTAGGTTCTCCGCGACAAATTATAAGTCTAGATTGCTTCACGATGTTTTCTTTCGTCTTGTTTATGTTTGTGTGTAACTCCTTCACATCAAACCGGCTGAAGGGAATGAAATTTGGAATACAGGTAGTTTATAGTCTGGACTAATACATAGGCTACTTCTATTCCACGGGAACGCGACCGAAATCGCTGGCAAGCACTGAAAGTCAAAGCATTTATTTCAATGAAATCATAATTTGGTACTTTTGAATCGTCAACAAATACAAAATAAATAATAGTCTGTCAGTCAGTCCGCCAGTGAAACTAGGTGAAGCTAGGTGCTCATTCCAAAATGTAGATTCGAATGAAGAAGAACAAGCAAGAATTTCCATTCGTTACTCTTTTTAAAAAAGTATGTTCTACAATGTCTTTAATACATATTTCAATACTGTACGCATATGTGAGAACAATGCAAAGACACGCTTGACGCATTATACTAATTGCCAAACTTACTAAAATAAAACAGCAAAAAAAAAAGAATCTTATAGTCTAACATGGTGCTCACATATGCGTACTGGCAATCCATAAAAATAGTGCTTCTACTATAGAGGTACACTACATAGTATAAAACAAGGTCGCTCTCCGCCGTCTGCCTGTCCCTATGTATGCTTAGATCTTCAAAACTACGCAACGGATTTTGATGCATTTTTTTTAATAGATAGAGTAATTCTTAAGGAAGGTTTATGTGTATGATACTTGCATATTGCACCCGTGCGAAGCCAGGGCGGGTCGCTAGTATAAAATAAAACATCAACATGAAATCATATTTCAATTTATTCGAGATTACATAATTTAATAACGAAATCTTAGCGACTTTACGCGTTTCAAAATCTAAATTATTTTTTATATTAACAGAAAACTTGCAGTTACTTCCCAACCTAAGTACAGCGCCCTCTGGCGGCCGTTCAGACAAACACAATTACAAACAAATAATTTATAATAGTGATGTACATTTCTTAAATTACTTCTTAAAATTTACACACAGAAAAATAATTTGAAATTACAAATCAAAGCCTAAATAACAACACAATCAAAGTCAGTAACACAACTTAGTTAATTTTCAAATATTACACCAAAATTTGTTGTTTTTTAATAAAGATAAAAATAAATGTTGATAATTATTTTTGCACCATTTTTTACAATTACAACTTTGAGATCTTTTCTACATTATAGGACTACAAGGGACAAGATTTCGGTCATAAAAAATAATCAATTCGTCCTTAATTTAAAAACTAAAGATATCTGGCATTATGAAAAAAATAATTATTATGTACTAAATAGGTATCAACCTACACCAATCTATCAAACTGCCCAGTACCCAAGCGGTCGCCGGTGACCACTCTTCACTTACTGGA